CTCCCAACCCCCGCCATGCTTTCAGTTTAGAATCCCAGTGCCCTTGAGGCCTCTGGGGCTGGGGGGCTAGGACGTGCTGATTTAGTTTCAGCTCAGAGAGGTTGGGCAACTTGCCCAGAGTCGCCAGCGTACAGCAGATAGGATCAGGCCTGGATGACTTCCCGCCACCCGGGGAAGGGACGGCTCAGGTATTCATCTCGAAGGAGCAGGCCCCAGGGACAGCAGCGTTCTGCCTCGGAGGACACTGGGGGGTGGGGGCGGGGCGGGGACATGGACGCCAAGGCACCCCAGAAGCAGGAGGTACACTAAGGGTTGGGGACCGCAGGCGGCAGAGGACTGGCGATGACGGGAAAAGCAAGGGAGACATCTGCTGAGCGCTCACTGCGGAGTCACCTTTTTTTAATTGAATTGGGGTGACATTAGTTAATAAAATTACATAGGTCCCAGATACACAATTCTATATATAACACACCACCTGTATGTCTCCTCCCATCTCCGCTTGTCCCCAGTTCGCCCTCCCCTCGCCCCCCTTCCTCTGCGAATCACCACACAGTTGACCACTGTCTGTTTCTATGAGGTTTTTTTCCCTTAATCCTTCCACCTCTCCCCACCCCGCCATGGACTGTTATGTTACTTCCTCTTCACCGCCTGCATTATTTTAGACAAAAAAATCATGCCCACGTGGCGGAGTCCACGTGCCCACGCTGGCCACAGGTGAGGCCCAGGTGAGCCCTGGGCACGAGCGTCCCCGCCGTCCCCCGTCCCCCAGCCCCATCCCCTGCTCTCGGCGCCACTGCTCACTTTCAGTAGAGCAGAGGGTTAACCGGGGGCCTCTCTCGACCACAGACAGGCACGTTCCTACCCGTCCGACCAGTTCCGAGGGCGACATTTGCAGCCCAGGTTTTACTGAGAACAAACAGTAAAGGCACTTCCACCCTCTTTGATCCCATCTAAGAACTGCGTGGCCGCTGCCTCCCCTCCCCCCACCCCGCCCCGCTCAGGTGGGTGCACATCTGGGCCCCCTCATCTGCAGACACCTGCACTCCAACCAGGCGTGTTTCCTGATAGGCACCCCTCCCCCACTCCAGGACCGGCTCTCTGGCCGCGGTCAAGGAGTGGGGAATGAATGAGTCATCGGTGGGGCTACAGGGAAGGGGAGACGACCGGGCCGTGTGCTCTCCAACACCTGCTTCGCCAGCCCCGCGTCTCCCTACACCGTGTGCAGCCGGGACTAGGAGGAAGCTGAGCCCTGGGTCGTTCTTGCAGTTTGGCCTCGAAGGGTTCCTGGTGCAAGCCTGGCCCTGGTGCTCAGAAGAGCTGGAAGCACAGACTCGCCACCCGGCCCCTGCTCCTCTGGCGCCCACTCCCACACTGAGCCCCCAGAGCAAAGTGCACAAGGCTCAGCCTGGCAGCACAGGCAGCCTCTACCACTCAGGGTGCCCCCCTCCTGTCCCAGCTTCCAGTCCCATCCACAGGCAACTGCCACTGCGAGGTTTATCTCATCCGCTCAGACGCCCGGGGGTGGGGGTGGGGGGTCAGCAGAGCAGGGGTCACTATTTCATGAATGAGGAAACAAACAAGCTCAGGAGGCCCTCATTCCTGCTGGCAGCCTGGGGCACACTCTGACTATATGGTCCCAGGTCTGGCCGGGCCTCCCACTCCAGACCCCGCCCCCCGCACACCTGCCCACCAGAGCTCACCCACCCACCACTACGGCATGTTCTTCAGCAGCGGAGGACGGGCACTGTCTGCTCTCCCATCCTGGTGGTGGAGAGAGAGCACCGACACGAGAACCAACCCAGCACTGAACATCAGACGGCCATTCCTACCATGGGGGAAATCAACAGGTCCCCACAGGGGCGGGGACACAGTGCTCTGGGCCCCTCCCTCACCTCCAGGAAGCCCCCAACACTGGTGGGGCCCGGTGGGGCTCTCCCACTCAGCTGGGCCCCAACACCACCCCAGCCCCTGCCCTCCTTTGCCCCAGCCAGAGGCTCTGTCAAGCCCTGAGAGCTCTCCTGCCAGGCACCCTGCGCTGGGGTGCTGCTTCCTCCAGGGCTGCCTCTCCCAGCCCAGGGACGCTCCTGCACCCCTGGCCCCGGCAACCTCGCCATCCCCTCGATGGAAGAACGGCTTCCGGGTGACCTCTCACAGCAGACCCACCAACTCCTTCCTCAGCCTGGGCCTGGGCACTGTGTCACACCGGCAGGCCATGCAACCTGCTGAATCACCCTTCCCACTAAGTCCACCACTCACATGATGCCCCCGTGCTCCCCGTGGCTTACAGATCAACTCCAAGAAACCTCCCAGCCCCACCTCCAAGACCAACTAACTCTTCCCAGCAGTCCCCAGCCAGGACCTCTGACCTCTCAACTAGGTGGCCCTTGGCCCAACTTTCCTCTCCTGTATCCTGGCACACTCCACCTCCCTCGGTCCTAGGCCAGTGCACACGCCACTGTCCTCCCTGGCACTGAAGCTGGCGTCCTGCTCCTGCTTTGAAAGGTCCTCCAACTTCGCGTCCCGCAAACCCAATCGGACAAACTCACCTACTTCATCAATGACCCGCCCCTGCCGGCCCAAGATCACCTGACTCCTTCACTGCCAGGCCAACCCCTCAACCACACTCCCCAGCTGAGGGAGCCCAACTTCTCAGCCCACTAACAGCCTCGTCTCTCCATGTCCTCACCGCCCCACCTGACACCCACCACTTGTCTGGAGTGCGAGTCCTGCCCAGTCCCCGCGGGCCCTCCCTGAACTCCCAGGAATGGGACTCCCCCAGCCTGTCTGTAAGTCAGTGATCATCACCTCCACCCCTTACCCAGTGCGGACCAATCAGCAACCGCCCTCCAAATCCCACCAGCTGGACACCCACTGACCCTCTCCCCTCCCCTCAGACTCCCTCACTGCTTCTCTAAGACTGCCCACGAAACACACACACACACACACACACACACACACACACACACACACACACAGAAAGGGCTCAGCCGAACAACAGCAGCTGCTATTTGTGCAGCCGGAATTTGCAAGTACTATCCTATTTCGTCCTCACAACTACCTCACAGCAGAGACTGGCACCATTTGCAAAGAGAGACAGACAGGCAGACAGACAGGAGGCTCGGAGAAGAAGAATGGCTCACTCGAAGCCAGACAGCTGGGCGCACGCAGCCACGCCTGTGCCAAGAACCTGCAGCGCAGAAACTTTACCCCACCCCATGCCACACTCTCCAACTACCCCCAGGACCCTCCGGCCCACAAACTGACCATCTCCCCTTCCCCCCCGGCCCTGGCCTCTGACTGACTCCCATCTCTGTTCCCATCCTGGAAGCTTGTGAAGCAGACACATCCAGGGACCAACCCCAGGGAACCAACTCCTCTAGACTGGCACCTACGATGACCCCCATCACCTAACATCACCCCTAAAATGACCAATAATAACTGCAACCCTGGCCAATCACTTTTCACTCACATTCTCAGTCCTCTCTTAACCCTCCTGCCATAGGTATTATCACCTCTTCTATAGATGGGGAAATTGAGACTCAGAGGAGTCAGTTTCCCAGCCTGAGGTGGTGAAGTGGGTAAACGGAAGGCAGGATCTGAAGCGGAGCCTCAGCTCTTCCCCACCCTGCCTATCAAGCCTTTCCCCCTTCCTGCCCTGAACCCAGGGACTGAATTCCCTGCTACAGCCCCGGCCCATTCTGCCTCCTCCCTTCCTCAGCCCCCCAAGCCCTCCCACCCAAAAGTGACCACCTGTCCCAGGGGCCTGGAGCCTAAGAACTTGGCCGGCTCCCAGTGCCAAAGATCTTAAATTACCCTCTGTCTCTTCGGCAGTAACTAGCCAAATTGGCATTTATGGCGGGTTCCCTGTGTGTTCAGCTTCCAATTACCATTTTCCTCACTCTCATGTCAAAGCTACCAACTCCTCCATGGCGCACGGACGAGTAACAACAGTCCCTCCTCTCCCCCCAGAGCCACCAGTCCAACTTCCATAGAGCCAGGGCCACGCTGCACCTCTCCACCCTGGCGAGACCGGCAGACTTACTTCTCCAGCACAGAAATGGACTCAACGCTTCCGTACAGCGCAGGAGCCACTTTCCGCCTTCCCAGCCCCGTGGGTAACTCGCTCCTCCAGACGCTGCTCTTTCAGATCCAACACTGACCTGACCTTCTTCCTCTGGTAATCCATAGACTGGCTTCCTTTCCCAACACCTCAAGCTACCAAGTTTCTGAATGTTCTCGCCTTCTGCTGGCCTGCAACTCCAATTCCCCAACTCCTTCTCAAGAGAGGGAAAAAACCCTTCTATAACCATGCCCCCCAAAGTCCTTCTGCTCCTGGATGACTGACAATATTCTACTTTCTGGGGGAGTCAGAAACATGCAGTGACTTTTCGTCTTAATGTCAAGATCTATCAGCTCCTCTGGCTATCTTACCCATCCCCAAAGGGACCACATCCTCGGCTCCTTTTCTGGGAGTTTACCTTGGCTCCCTTCTCCAATCCCAGGACTTACGACCCCTCTACAGCCACAGTCCAGATCTATTCCTCCTTCTCCCTTCAGCCACCCCCTGGTTCGGAGGCTGGTAGGGAGGACTTAACGTCTTTCCATCCCCATGGGCTCGCCAGACTCCTCCAGCTGTCCTTTCAAGCACCAGCGTTGACCCAGTCTTCCTCACCCGACATATCTCTATCCTTCTCTGGGGGGGGGGGGACTATGAACTCAAAGACTGATGTCCTCCCAAGTCTCCCAGGCCACCGAACTTTTTTTTAAATCGCTCATCTTTTTAATTCCTACACAGAACATATTCAGCGTCCCCTCAGGCGGGGGAAGGGACGTAAACCAGCTACTTTTCAGCTTCCCAACCCAACAGCCACCCCCTTCCCTAGTCACTGTCTCCTTAAATCATCATTAGGTGCAACTTATTGAGCACCACTTCTGTGCTGGGCGTTGAACGGACTCCCCAGACCCCCTCGAACCCGCCTCCGCTTCCAGGCTGTAGCTACCGTGTCTCCAAGGGTCTTTGGGTTCCACTGCTCCGGACACGATATCCTCGTCCGAGGGGAACGTGACGCGCTTGGCCGCAGCCTTGAGGCGCCCGTCGGCCGGGGGCGATGCGGGACTGGGAGACTGGGCCTCAGCGGGGGCCTCCTCGGCGTCGCCGTCCGCGCCCTGCCCGGGCGGCGCCTCCTGCGGCGGGATCTCCATCGCCGCCGCCGCCGCCACCTCCTCACGGGGGCCCCGGGGACATGCCCCGGGCCCCGGACTTGTCTCTCCGGGCCCGCCCGCCGTCCCGGGGCATGGGATCCGCCGCTTTTTCAGGAGATGCCTCCGTCCACTTGCCTGGTCGTCGTAATCGTCGCCTCGGTGAGCCGGAGCGCGCCTCCCCCGAGCCCCGCGCCCGCCCGCTCGTTCGCAGCCGCACTTTCGTTAAAGGCCGATGGGGCCCACCGCGTACTAACACAAGCAGAAAATCAACTTAAGCTGTCTGCTGGTAGAGCTGCCTCGAGGGTCGCTGCAGGGGGGTAACAAAAGGCAGCAAGACCCAAGGGAAAAAGAAACGTGAGCACTGAATCCGCAGAGCCGGAACTGCAGGGCACGAGGGGCGGGGCGAGATGGACGCCGTCTCCCAGAGCAGCGCGCAAGCGCGAACCTGAGCCTCCCCCCCCCCACCCCCCGCCCCTTCCCGCCTCCGGATAGCTGTGGTTCAGGCTCGCACACATTCGTCACGATCTCAGGCACTGCAAAAGGGAGTGGAGTTGATAGAAATGAAAAACATCTGCTTGACGGGGCTAGGGCAACTGGTACGGAGCCGTGAGCCTTTACGTCTTGTAAAGGGGTGGAGTAATTGAAAGGTAATAAAAGGACCTGTGTTGAATGAGTACAAATGATGGATGGTGAGGGAGGGATCCTCACCAACCTTACGTCCCCGCGCTATTCTCTAGCCTTTCCTTTGCTGACTGGAGTTTTATTAATAAGTCTTTACTTGGATGGCATTGTACAAGATACAATTTAAATGTATAAACTAAAAGAAATATGAGCCCATGAAGGGTATCATAGCCTTGATTTATAAAGGAGGTAGGGGCGGGAGAAGAAATTTCAAAAGCTGGGGTTGGATCTGCCTACCAAAATACCGGGCGACCGGGCAGATAGATCGCTAAGCCCCAAGCAAACCAGCAGGAACTCAAGCCACGCCCCCCGGCTCAATTCTATCACTTAATATTCGCCTCTGCACTTTCGCCATACTTTCAGCCCATCCTGCAACTCGCGGGTGGGAGGGAAGGCGGGGCTAAAGCCAAAATAGTCTACTTGGGGAGGAGCGAGCGGCGTCGTTGCCAAGGCAACTCTAAAGCTAGGCCGAGCACTCCCCTGAGGTGGCGTAGTGAACCAACGTTTAGAAGTTGTGACTCTACTTGTCTTCAACATCATGGGCTGTCGGCTGCCGTACTTCGTGACTGAAGACAAACGAAGCGACTCATGCGTATTCAACAAAATTTTCACTTAAATTCTGAATGTGATGGAATTAAAAAGAGGGAAGAAATTGCTTCTTAAAGCGAATCTGACGAAATACTAGTGGCAGGGCTAAGTAAATCAAGTGATATGGGCCGCCTTGGCACACAACTGGTGCAAAATGAAGAGCTGAAGCATCACCCTAACCCCTAATCGTCAGCTTTTTCTTAATGTGCCCGGACAGGGCGTGGAAGCAAGCGAATCTGTGGTGTTGTGTGGCCCGCCCCACCCGGGCAGGAGCGCACCGCCAGGGAACCCAGAGCCATGCACATCCCTTGCTTGGAACAGTCTTGCCTACCCAATAAAAAAACCTCGTCCGAATCATCCAAGCCTGGCATCCGGGTCACTCCAGGCGTTCTCCGAGACCAGGGGCAATCCAAACCCCGAACCTTTATCCAAGTTCCTCCCAGACAACTGATGTGTCCTCCCGGTCCTTCTTGGCCCAGATCCACCAGATTCAGTCCTTGTTGAACAGTTACTCTCCCATCCCCTAAATCTGGTCTCATCCCTGTAGGGTACACTTCAAAAACAAACAAAAAAACCAAGAGGTAAATTTTCTTGGAATAATCATTGGTTCTTTGGAAGGAAGCAGGTATTGGAGAGTTTCTTCCGGGTGGCTGAACTTTTGCAACACTTCAAAAATTTTTTTACTTATTGATTTTTTAGAGACGGAAACACCCACTTGGTGTTCCATCCATTTACCTATTCATCAGTGGTTTCTTTCCGCCACCCCTGACCTAGAATCAGACCCATGACCTTGGCATATCCGGATGATATGCTAACCAACTGAGCTCCCTGACCAGGGCTGCAACTTCTATAATAAACAATTTCCCACTCTGCAATTTACCTTCCTTTATTCCCACTGCCCCTCCCCCAGCCCAGCCCACCCCGTCCTTAGGAACTGGCTGGAGGTCCACATTTCTGTAGAGTTCAGAGGTCTTCGAGGTCAAGCATTCCTTTCCATGGGACTGAGAACTCCTGGGGTTGCAGAATTTTACTGACTAGACCCTGGAGATCCGAAAAAGCCAAAGTTGCTTGGAGATCAGCTCAAAATTCCAAGGAAGTTCCAAACTCTATGGGGCCCAGAGATCCAGGACAGTGGGAGGCCTGGGAATCTGTGGCCAGGCCTAAGGCAGAAGGTGACCACAGTAATGTCTTTATAGCTTGAAGGTGTATGCAATAATGTCACTACACCGGAGCAGTGCCTCCGCCTGCACACCTATGGGAGTCTGCAGCTGCGACACATAGAAGTTGGCCACGTCCAGGTCCGTGGCTCCGAACTGGGCAGTCACGTGCACGCCCTCATGCAAGGTGAAGCTGACCTGGCGACCCACCATGGCCAGCAAGCTGCGGAGGTAGCGCTCCCGGAGCGTGGCTCGGGCTCGCTGCTCCCGGGATTCCCGAGATTCGTGAACTATGGGGGACTCTGGGGTTTCAGAAACCTCTGGCTTCAGGAGGGCCCGACGTCCATCAGGGGCAAAGCCTCGGCTCAAGCCATCAGGACCCCGGGGGAGCCGGAGTACAGGCACAGGACTGGTCAGTGGAGTCTGCATTGTCCAGGCTGTTGGGGTAAGAAGAAGAGCAAGGAGCCATTACATGGGGAGGTGGGGTGACAGGAAGAGAGGGGACTGGGTGCAGGCGCAGGGGCTTGCCTCTGGCATCTCAACACATCCTATCCAAAGCCGACCTCCTGATGTCCCTTCCTAAAATCTGCGCCATCCCTCTACCAGTGCCCACTTCCCAGGAGCCGGCCCCAACATCCACGAAGCCCAGGAGAGCAGGGACTTTTGTCAGCTTTCCTCCTCACAGCTTTATTCCTGGCCATAAATGCGTCCTGAAAGAACCAACCCCTGCCGCCTCTCCTCCCTCACACGTGGCCCATCCAATCCATCAGGAAACACCGTCTTCCAAATAAATCCCCTATCCCAGGAGCCGGCCTGGAAGGGCTCCCTCTGGCCCAATCTGGAATGGTCTGAACATTTAAATATGACAATTACAGATTATAGCCCACTGAATACAACAGAAATCCATGAGTCCGTGCTAATTATAAATAAAGGAGAAGGAAAGTTCTTTCTTACCCTAGAATGACAGTTAAAATCATCAACGGCTGTTAAAACTCGAGGAGAAATGTCTGATGAAGGCCAGGACGTCTGCAGAGTCTTAAACTACCTCCTCCCAAGGTACCCGCTGTAAAGAGTAAGTTTATGGTGGAGAAACCTGGCAGACACCTTCACTCAGGCACCAAAGCTAATGTGTGCAGCTGTGGGACAAACAGATCCCAGGTGCCTCCTGCTGTGATACCGCGATGGCCAGGGCGCAGGCGCGTGGATTGCACACAGGTGCCTGAATCTAATCATGTGGGACAACTGTGTCTAACTAATGTAATCAAGTTGAGAAACACTCTACCAATAAGAAGCAGCAGCAGCCTGGGAGGCAGATTTGAGCTCCTTGCCAGTTGGCCTCACAATAAAACTTTCTTGTAAAAGAATTAGCCATCTTGGATTCCTCAAAAATATCAAGGTCACAGAAGATCAAAGCTGGGGGGCTCCCTCACTGGAGCTGTGGTGATATACATATATCCCTCGCCTGATCCAGCCAGCGTCACTTCCTGCTGGGCCTGCCACTCCTCACTGGCTTACCCCCTTCCTCCGTCACACCCCTACCCCTGTCCTCACACATAGCCAGAGGGACCTGAGTCAGATCCAGTCCCTTCTTTGCTCAGAGCCTTCCAGTGCCTTAAGTCAAAATCAAAGTTCATGCCCCGGCCAGTGTAGCTCAGTAGATTGAGTGTGGGCTGGGAACCAAAGGGTCACCAGTTCAATTCCCAGTCAGGACACATGCCTGGGTTGAGGGCCAGATCCCCAATAAGGAGTGCATGAGAGGCACCCACACATTGATGTTTCTCTCCCTCTCTTTCTCCTTCCCTTCTCTTCTCTCTAAAATTAAATACATAACATCTTTTTTTTTTTTTTAAGATTTTATTTAGCCTGGCTGGTGTCGCTCAGTGGATTGAGCACGGGCCTGCGAACCAGACAATTGCGGTTCGATTCTCAGTCAGGGCACATTCCTGGGTTGCAGGCCGGTTCCCTGCAGGCCAATTCCCAGCAGGGGACGCACAAAAAGCAACCATACATTGATGTTTCTCTCCCTCTCTCCTTCCCTTTCCCTCTAAAAAAGATAAATAAATAAAATCTAAAAAAAAAAAAAGATTTTATTTATTTATCTTTAGAGGGGAAGGAGAGAGGGAGAGAAACATCAATGTATGGTTGCCTTTTGTGCATCCCCTGCTGGGAACTGGCCTGCAGGGAACCGGCCTGCAACCCAGGCATGTGCCCTGACTGGGAATCGAATACATAACATCTTTTTTAAAAAATCCACAAAGTTCTCATCACCGCCCTCAAGGCCCCCACCCTCTGGTTACCCCAGCTTCCTCTCCCTACCCCAGCCACGCTGGCCTCTTTGGCCTCTAACCATTGAGCCCGCTTGCCATCCCTTCTCTGGCTCTGGCACTGGGGGGGTTCCCTCTGCTCCCTCTCTTTTCCCCCTTCCCCGACCATCTTGCCTTAAAGCTCCATCTGCCCCTCATCCCTCTGCATCCCCCTGCAACCCCTCAGTCAGCTTCATCTTTCTTTGCAGCACAGACCCCTCCAAGACATGACATTGTATATTTATTGTTCTGCTTCCGGTCCTTCTCCACTGCCAGATGCCCCCCCCCCCTCCAGGCACCCTCCTAAGAACACTGAGGGGCACAAGAGAGCAGGCTCGATCCAATGAATGGATTGGAGATTAAGCCCCCAGTGAGCTGGGTGACCTCAAGCAAGAGACAGTTCCCTCTTCCACTGTATGGAGAAATAGCACCAACTGCCACCTCTGTTTGTTATGAGGGTTCAGCTGGCTCGGGCAGGAAGGGCCCCATACCCCTCAGGTTCTCCATGAAAGCTAGGTACTCACAATCGTTATTAGCATCCTTGTGTGACCTGGGGCAAAGCTCAACCGTTCGGTGCCTTGGTTTCCCACCTGTAAAAGGGAATGAAGGGAGGACTGACCTCCCTTGGTTGTCCTGGGGACCGCGTGTGGAATATTTAGCCCTCCCCTGGAACACAGCAGGCACTTCGGCCTGGAAATGCTGGCTTTGGGGACAGGAGGAGAAAGAGAGAAGAACCCTCGGTTCAGCAACTGCACTGCTCTCTGTGGCCTGGTCCCCTCCTCTGTAAAGGAACCCCCCAAAGACTGATCTGCTATGACTCCAGAATCACTGCTATGAAGAAAGTGGTTTGGCCTTGGCTGGTGTAGCTCATGAGCGCCGGCCTGTGAACTAAAGGGTCGTGCGTTCAACTCCCAGTCGGGGCAGGTGCCTGGGTTGTGGGTAGGTCCCCGGTTGGGGGTGTGAGAGGGGCAGGGTCACTGTTTCACTTAGACATCATGTTTCTCTCCCTCTCTCCCTCCTTTCCCCTCTCTCTAAAAATAAGTACATTAAATCTTTTTATTTAAAAAAGGAAGAAAGCAAAAGGAAAGTGACTCGACAGCTCCAGCCAGAGGCTGGGCTCGATCCCATGGCGGTTTCCCAGGTAGCTGCAGACCTGAAACAACTGGGTCTGCAAAATGCTCAACCTGTACCCCCGCTGGCTGGAGTATATTCAAGTGCAAATCCCCTCAGACCTCAGAAAGTCTGTTCCTTTTTGCAGGGAAATGAATGTTTGAAGGTGTTCCAAACCACTTCTGATGAACCCAGGAATACTCAGGGAGAGCTAAGTGTGAAGTCTGGACAGAAAGCTTATCCCTGACCCATGCCCCACGCTATACAAACTTCTGCGTTTGTCCTTAACATCTACATCTCTGAATCCTCAGGAATTCTTATTTCACAAGGATCATTACTTTATACACACTGGCAACAGCAGACAAATGAAATACTTTTTTTCAAAAAATCGAGCAAGCAAGAAAGCCCTGACTCACTGGATTGAGTACCAGCCTATGAACCCAAGGGTTGCTGGTTCGACTCCCAGTCAGGGCACACGCCTGAGCTGCAAGCCAGGTCCCCAGTAGGGGGTGCTCAAGAGGCAGCCACACATTGATGTTTCTATCCCTCTCTCCCTCCCTTCACCTCTCTCTAAAAATGAATCTTTTAAGAAGGGGGATGTCTTGCAATAAAAGAGAGAGGGAAGGAGAGAAGGCCCTGGCTGTTTTCAGTTAATGGAGCAACAATTCACTGTTTTTTGCTCTCTCCCTCCAAAATCAATCAATTAAAATATTTTTAAAAAGATTTTATTTATTTATCTTTAGAGGGGAAGGGAAGGAGAGAGGGAGAGAAAGATCAGTGTATGGTTACCTCTTATGCATCCCCCGCCGGGAACTGGCCTGCAACCCAGGCATGTGCCCTGACTGGGAATCGAACTTCAATCCTTTGGTTTGTGGCCCCACCCTCAATCCATTGAGCCATACCAGCCAGGCTCAATTAAAATATTTTTAAAAATAAGCCCTGGCTGGCACGGCTCAGTGTATTGAGCGCCGGCCTGCAAACCAAAGGATCGAAGTTTGATTCCCAGTCAGGGCACATGCCTGGGTTGCAGGCCAGTTCCCAGCAGGGGACGCACGAGAGGCAACCACACATGGATATTTCTCTCCCTCTCTCCTTCCCCTCTAAAACTAAATAAATAAAATATTTAAAAAATTTTTTTAAATAGCAATAAAGTGACTGACTGATGTGACAGACAAATATCAGGTAGCCACCCCCCCTCCGTTTCTGCAGCTCAGCTGTGAGCTCCTTGCCAGATGAGCCCCCTGCTGAGACACGGCAAGGGCTGCAGACCAAGGTTTCTGGGCCTCCGCTGTGACACTGGGCTGCATGTTGTGGGGACTGCCCGGCAGGCAGCTGCAGGGTTTCAGCAGTATCCCTGGCCCCTACCCACTAGGTGCCAGTAGTGCCCCAAATTATGACACCCTAAACCATCTCCATTGGTGAACAGCATGGTATGAGAATTACATGGTGACAAAGCCATTTAAAAAAAAAAAAAGGTCTGGCTGGTGTAGCTCAGTGGATTGAACCTGGGCCTGCAAACCAGAGGTTCCCGGTTCTATTCCCTAGTCAGGGCACAGGCCTGGGTTGCAGGCCAGTTCCCAGCAGGGGACGCATGAGAGACAACCATACATTGATACTTTTCTCCCTCTCTCCTTCCCTTCCCCTCTAAAGTTCAATATAAATAAATAAATAATAAAATAAGAATCTTTAAGCCCTGGCTGGTGTAGCTCAGTGGATTGAGCGCGGGCTGCGAACCAAAGTGTCGCTGGTTCAATTCCCAGTCAGGGCACAGGCCTGGGTTGCAGGTCAGGTTCCCAGTGGGGGCCATGTGAGAGGCAACCGCACATTGATGTTCCTCTCCCTCTCTTTATCCTTCCCTTCCCCTCTCTCTAAAAATGAATAAATAAAATTAAATTAAATTAAAAAAAATAAAGGTCTCCATATAGTGCCATATGTCCCCGGGGGCACAAAAAATGGCAAATGTCTTTAGCTGAGACGCACCAACAAACAAGTGGGAGGGGGAAGATCGCTGCTGAGTCTGACATAGTCGCGCAGCCGCAGTGAGCACCAGAGACAGCGAGCACCAGAGAGATGCCGAGGAAAGCTCCCAGGCCACAGGGTTCTGCGCCTCCCAGAGCAGGGAAGCCGGGAAGGGCAGATCAAGCTTTGTATTGGCGCAGCTGCGGAGGAACTTCCTCAAATGCCCGGTGGCGGCTGTCAGTTAAGAGGGCCTCAAAGAGGGCAGCTGGCCCGGGTCCAGGAAGCTGCAAACACGCCCAAAGCGCCCGTCGTTCCACCCTCCGTCCCTGGGGACTTCGAGTTGTCTGCCTTTTCTGACCCTTTGAATTCCTTCCCAGGTAGTTGTATAACCTATTCAAATAAATTTAAAAATTCTGCCATTCAAAAGGAAGGGATGTATTGTAACGCTTCCAAGTCCCTTAAGAAACATGAGCTTCCGCCTCAGGAGTCTGAGCTCCCTCTGCTACCCTCACGGTCGCCCACTCCCCGAACCCTTCTGCCCCTGAGCCAGACCTTTGTGGAACTAGCTACCCAGTCCGACTGGACTCTGGCAGCAACTACTCAGCGCAGCCACAGGAGCGGGAAAGCCAGAAATAAAACATAAGCAGTGGCCCTGGCTGGTGTAGCTCAGTGGACTGAGCTCGAGCCTGAGAACCAAAGGATCATGGTTCAATTCCCAGTCAGGGCACATGCCTGGGTTGCAGGACAGGTCCCCAGTAGGGGGCGCGTGAGAGGCAACCACACACTGGTGCTTCTCTCCCTCCCCTCCATCTAAAAATAAATAAATAAAATCCATAAAAAAAAAACCCACCTTACTTATTGGGACACTGAAATTTGAATTTTATATAATTTCACACACCACAAAAAACTTTTTAAAGTATTCCAACCACTTAAAACTGTAAAATAAAACCCACTCTTAGTTCCTGGGGCCACACAAGGACAGCGTCGGGGTTGGGGTCACAGCTTTCCACCTGGGAGGGAGGATAAGGATGCAGATTCGGGGAGACTGGTGAGTCTTCCCCCGATTCACTCCCAGGGATCTGGGCAGGTCACTGCAACTCCATCAGCGGCCTCCCCAGTCTGGCTCCTCATCTGGGAAATGAAGCATAAAAAAGACCTCCTGGAGGGTTGGGAGGAGGGAGAATCTGGGGGGGGGGAGGCTGGTGATCACACAGACAAACGGCAGCCCATCACAGTCTGGTCTGGGCGCTTTCTCCATTACCCACATCAAAATGCATCCAGAATCTGGCGAGTTCTCATCCCCCTCTCTGCCCCTTCCTCCTTCCAGCCACCAGCACATCTCACCTGGGCTATTGCAGTCGCCTCTCCACTGGGCCCCCTGCCTCCAGCTTCACCCCACACAGCTGCCAGAGAGAGCCTCTTCCATCTGAGTCTGATGACATGCCTCCTTCGCTCAGATCCTTCCCCTGCTCTGGCCTCGCCAGCTCCGGTCTCCCCCAAAGCAAAAGCTACTGTCCTTACTGACTACAACAAGGACACGTCACCTCTCTGACTGCATCTCTCCCCTATTCACCCTTTGTTCACTGTTGGTTCCTGAACATGCCATGCACATTCCCGCCCAGGGCCTTTGCACATGCTGTTCTTACTGTCTCTAACCCTCTCCCAGACAGGAGACATATATGTACTTCCAGAGACATGGTTCACTTTCCTCCCTCACTTCACTGTTCGAACACCACCTTCACCGGGAGAAAAATAGTAGCCCTTTCACTCCGCATTAACTTTTTTCACAGCACCATCATCTGACAAAATGTATTTACTTGCTTTCCTACGCACTGTCTGTATTGCCACAGAACGTAGCCTTTGAGAGAACAGACATGTCTGATTACTTCCCAACTCCATCCACAGCCCCTTAGGGCTGGGCACAGGGGAAGTCTGTAAATGTTTGCGGAAGGAATGTGAAGCTTCACCCACCCACATTATCTGAGTACCAGCTCTGCGCCCAGCCCATGCTGGGTGGTGCTGGGGACTCCGCTGGGACTGGAACACCCCTGCCCCACCTTCATGGGCTCCCTGGCCAGCGGTAACAGGCTTGTCTCTAGACAATGATTACCCAGAGCAGGCAGGTCCGGAATGAAGGAGCCCCAGGGCCTCAAGAGCCTGGGGGGTGGGGGGAGGCGGGGGGGGGGGGGGGGCGCGAGCACAGACCTAAATACAGTAAGGAACGGAGCCATGTGGAGATCTGGGGGAGAACCTTCCAGCCAGCAAGAACAAGAGGTGAGGGCAGAGGACAGGGCCCTGAGGACCCCAGTGAGAACGTGGGCCTCTGCTCTGGGTTAGCCATGGGAGGTCTGAGCAGAGGGCCAGGACCTGATCCGTCTGCCTGCTGCACAGAGAATGGACACTGGGGGGACACAGCGGCAGCAGGGCGCCCAGTGAGGCGGGTGCATGATGATGGTGCCTGGGATGGGGTGGTAACAGTGGGGGCTGTAGAAGGGGTCAGATTCGGTTTGTGCTGAAAGGTGAGAGCACTCTTACTAAGGAATTAAGGGAAAAAGTAGAGCCACTGGACGGTTCCCGGGTTTCTGCCTGATTGGGAAGACCACAGAAAATAGGATTAACTGGCTGTATACTCATTTTCTAATTTATCTGACCTCTGCCACAGTAGATGGGATTAATGAGGTATACACATTTTCTCTGTATCTGACCACTGGACTCCACGCTTTGTCAAGGGTCATCAGCCCCCAGGGCCTTCCCCAGACCTAGGAAACACCCTAGTCTCCAGGATTAATACTTAAAAGATTTATGGGAAATCAAGCAAGTGGCTCAAGGACTTGGCCACTTAAATAAAATCCCTGGATAAAAACAAAATTCAGGGTGGACCAGTGCAAGGCCCTGTTTTCTCTGGGGGCAGGGGTGGGGTGGGGAACACAGAGATTTGGTCAGGTTAGTGGAATTCCCATTTTCCTGAAAAGGAAACTGGAGCTAGGAGAAGTCGAATCATTTGCTGGGGACAAGTTGGTGTCGGGAAAAGGAAGCCAACCCAGATGGGTCCGACAACAGAGTCCACCGCAACCCTGCCTGCCCCTTGCAGAAGTGTTGTTTTGTTTTGTGTTTCCCCCCAGTCAGCACAGGGGCCCCCGTTAGAGGTTTGGAGCCCAGATGTGACCCGAGAATAAAGTGGTTTGAGAAAGGCCACACAGGGTGTTCCCAAGGCAAAAGCAGGCATTACCCACTCTCCCTGGTGACAGAACCGAGAGTCCTTGACCTTTTCGGTCTCCAAGCCAAGGATATTTTGCGCAAAGATTTCAGGAACACTGTCTGAACCCATCCCTCACTACCAGAAAAAAGTGACTCAAGACCCCATCACTGGGGGCAATGGCAAGGGCAGGAGACTCAGATCTCCCTCCTTGGGGCTTCACTTTCGAGAAAATGGGAATATAGATCAGATATGCGGACAAACGTTCAGCCACCTCTTCAATTGCGACAGTAGGAAGCCAGCTGCAGGACCTCCTTAAGGACCGGCCCCCGGACCTAGTTAACCAAGGTGGTGACGTGTGCACCCACACCCCAAGGGCTGCCCCATACGTATGCATATTAGTTCAATGGGGCCTTCTGAGAATCCTTCCCCTCCCTTCACCCCTGGGCTGGTCAGTTTCCTTTCAGTTCCTCCCCTCGCACCCCTCGCTCTCCTTTTCTT